GAAGAAGTAACAGTAAGTTTTGAAGATATGCCTATATGTGTTTGCGATCCGTGCCCATAATGGTAATACTGAAAGAATCGTTTCGCTCATGAATGGACGGACGAAAGAAACACGATGAAAGTGGAGACCCTTCTGCAATCCTGCAGTTTCTCTACAATTTCAAAATGGACTGTTCTAGTTTTTACAACTTAATATTAGATAAGAAGGAGGTTTTAACAATGGCTGGGACAACAGCCAAATATCCTCAATTTGTAAAATATGTAGGCTTATAAATAAATAAGTATTCACTGCAAAATTATTGTTTTCGTTTATGACATGCCTCAGAGTTTAAATTAAATTACAAAAGTGAAGGTAAATTTAAAAAGATTTCTAGGTCTCAAAATATTTACAATGAGCATATTTCAATAAACAGTTTCCAGCGGAGGCCCCCGGACCCCTCTTTAGCTTGAGAGTACACCCCCGCCCCATTTTTTACAGTTCATGATTTGGTAACCATACCTAATGATTAAATATTATTGATTTTACTCTGGAACCTGGAGTTGATTATCAGTGTCAAAAGGTAGGCAACATAATTAATCATTAATGTAATGCTTTATATTTATAAGCCATCTCATGTGAATTTTTATTCTTTGAGCTTTGAATGAATGACTTGGTAATGGTACACATAGATCAGAGGTGTACATGTTACATAGGGTATGTGAATTGACAAAGCATGTGCCATGGGTCGATGGGGCACCACTTGAAGTGGATGCAAAATTGACAACCTGACAAATAATTTTTATATTTAAAAAAGAAAATTTGTTTTGACTAATCATATGGTCCAATAGTTAGCCTGTTTTTCATTATGTTGATTATTGAATAAGCTAAAATGGTGAACTGTAATCTGCTTACTCTGGTATTATCTTCTTCTTATATTTTAGGGGCCCACAATCAATTTGTTGACCATTCTGGCTCCTGGTTTAAATTCAGAGTTTGCCTTCTCTTAGATGGGTTTCCATCCAAGCCAAGACTAACGAGTCCCATCCACCGGGGTGCTTGGGATGTTGGCTTTGGTGGAGATTGAATTCCAGACCAGCGGCTATTTGTTTTGAGACAGTTTAGACCGCTTGGCCGCCCAGCATGATTTCTTTATTATTATTGTTTATATACTAAATGACAGTAATGACACGATAAATCTATAAGTTTATTCTTAGTTTTATCAAAATAGGTTTCTCAACCTTGTTTGGGTTTGGGGGAAATTTTAGTTCTGCCTGTGGGGAAAAAATCATAAATTATGTCATAATAATGATGCAGAGCGGCATACGTATTTTTTATTTTTGACTTCCCTTACGCCTTACTCTTACCACTCATACAAAATTTCAGGTTCAAATTTGTCTTTGGAATCAAAATGACGCCTCTAGAATTTGGCCCAGTGTCAGTTTTAAGCTTCGTTGTAAACTCAAAGAAAGGCCAGCAATGTCCTGTCGGCAGTGTCGGTACGCCTCTAATTTTTAAGTAATAATCATCAATGAATAATATAAATATAATAATAATACAATGGCAACGATGCCACGATGCTAAACAATACATACAATAAGTTACGTAAAAACATGCTGTTTTAAAATTCCGTATGCCATATATACTTTAATATTCCTTGGCTATTATTAAAATTAATTTTGAGACACTTAACTTAAAAGATTTTCCGTTATAAATATATTTTAGTTTGTACTTCGTAATACTTCAACTTACTTTTTGACGAACAATATTGTTTGGGATTGTTACAGTTTAGGTAGAGATTATTTTTTGCGCGTCTCACAAATAAACATAAAATTAAAATTAATGGAAATGAATTATTTAAATTTTTTAAAAAGCCCCCTATAATCCTCTTCAGTTTATATTATTATTATTAATTTTTTTTAGAATTATTATTTAATTTTATTTGAATTCCCGAAAAAGCTTTTTCTTTTGGGCTCCTCAGACTTAGATTCATTAGAATTAGAGTGGCGCCCTCTTGAAGTGCCTTCACTTGATATGTACACGAACAAATATTTATTGGAAAAAAAAAATATCCTGACGTTGCAAGGCCTAAGCTAGGGTTACCAGACGTCCGTATTTAGTACGGACAGTTTGTATTTTCGACCCCTTTATCCGTACCGTACTAATTTTTGCGTCCGTGTCTGTCCGTACTTTCCTCTCGTCGTCCGGGTTGTCCTTACTTTTGGCAGCAACGACTTACTTGTCTTATTTCCATTTGTCTTATTTCTCCGCAAAGGCAAGTGCAGTGAATAGTCCAAAAATAGCATATCTATAAACCAATGCTGTAAAAATATCCCGCAATGTTTTGTAAGAATTATCGTCATAATCATGGGCGCCCGCAGGTGGGGAAAGGTAGCGCACTTGCCCCCCCCCCCCCCCCCCCCCCCCCC